ATTTTCCGTGGTAAGCTTGTCTTTGAACATTAAGACCACATAGAACTTCATCGAGTTTTTCACAAATGGTTCATTTGATTTTTCAAATGTTTTACCATTTAACATTTAACTCTTCTAATTCAATAAGCTATATAAAAAACAGCTTTACATGAACACACACAGAAGCATTTTCTCTTAAATTGATTGTTTCATTCACATAGAACTATAGAATATTTTATTTCATTATTTCAAATATTAACTTAGTATACCTTAGCATTTCTCTTCTCCATAAAATGAACTATTCTGGGCTGAAAAACTTCATAGAGGTATTCCTCATTTTCAGGAGAACGTAGAACTTGTATTGTCATTGCATCATGAATAAGTGTTATTTTTTCACAATATTCAGTAATTACTTTTTCTTGTTCATATATTTTTAACTGCAGTGCAAGATATTCATAAAAACTTTTGTTGTTTACAGTTTGATTTTTTAAACACATTTTAGCTGCAATTTTTATATCTATAATATGACAGCTATCTTCCAGCATATTAAAATTTTTTAGATAAATTCCCAATGAGATATGCAACGATGGAATACCAACCTAGATTCATAAAATTAATAAAAAAATATTTAAAATGATATAAGCAAAAATGTAATATATTAGAAAAATGTAGGGTAGATTAGGGTAATATGAGCACCTTGGTAATATGAGCGTACTTAAAGATTTATTAGATGTAAGCAGTAAAGTTAAAGTTGCTTTATGTTTTTCGAATCGACTTTATGTGGTGATAACAGGAATCAGTACAATTAGCGTAAATTTATACGCAGTAATTAGCGGATATCATCTAATTAAAACGCTTTTAAATTTTTTGCTTTGTTAAAAAAAATCATCACGCGTGAATAATTCTATGGCGGGATATTTTGGTGCTAAAATAATGAAATTAATTTTTTCATAAAGAAAAATATATTAGCTAAAAATCCAATTCATTTTTGTTTGAAAAATAATGCATAGAAATATTTATTTTTGACTTTATTTAAAGATACCATTTTTGTGTAGTATGAGCATGCTCAAATTACCCAGTGCTTTTCATTGAAATTGCTTAGTTTAAAGTCCTAAAATAGCAGTGGTTTTTAATTGCTTCTTGAATAAAAACAAAACATAGTAGAAAATTTTAATATATTAATAATACTAAATATTTTTCTGTATCTTAAATCTAAAAAATTTTAATTTTTATTGTTAAAAGGTTTGAGTTAACAAATTTGAAAAAACAATGTATTAATTTTTTTTTTTTTTTTTGGCGGAAAACATAGTAGTATTGTTTCAACAAAATGTAGCTTAAAATTTGATTTTTAATAATATGTTTTGTTAATCACGAATCCTTGTATTCCAACAGTTAGTTCTATTAAGCAGGTTGGTCTTTTTTTACTTAATTAATGCTATTTTTTTGAGCTAATTTAAAGTGCTCATATTACCAAGGGGTCAGGGTAATACGAGCACTTTTGCAACTTTTTTAAAACCTCTGTGTTTTTAAGAAAAAATGTCAAGTGCCCAAATATCTAAACAGATTATGAATAGGGATCCCTAAAAATTGTTTATTTGCAAAAATTTTGGATCCAGCATATTTATTTTTGAAAATATTCCAATTTTTGCTTAAGGTGCTCATATTACCCTAATCTACCCTAATACTGAATATTGAAAAAGGAATATTGAAAAGTGGTGAATCAATTACATTGTTACAATACTTTGCTAACTTTGGTATTTGACCTTTTTGAATGAATTTTTGAAAATCTGTATCAAGCCTTTCCATGTATCCATCTGTATCGGCCTTGAGGAAGTGAAGTAGAATAAAAAAAAAAAAAAAAAAAAAAATCCCTAGAATAATGGCTCTTGTGAGCAAAGATTTTTAAAGTAATATAGCGATTTATGAAAGCCTCCTCGGAAGAGAGCCAATAATCTTCTACTTATTATTACTTAAATAGACGTCCTTTGTGGACAAATCCTTACACTATAATGTAATAGATTGTGTCATCAATAAGAATATTTTAATAATAGAAAAATAGAAAAAGTTGCAAAAATATTAAACACGAGCTAGTAAATTTCATAATTCACATTTATTGCGAGTTCAATTTTATAATTGGTCTTATATATAAAAGGCAGTGTTATATATAAAAGGCATAGCAAAACAAAGTCTCATCAAAAACAATAACAAGTGTTTAATTACAAAAGAATGTTGGCGCTAGCGATTGCATTCTATCGTTGCAGCAACTAACATTAATAAATATTTTTTCATTCATAGTTATAAAATGTTATAAACTTTCATTCAAACAATTGCTTTTACATGGTTCATTCAAACATTTACTTTTACATTTTAAATTCAAGCAAGTGGTGAATTTAGTTTTTTTGTTATTTAAATTTCTTGTTATTAAAAGTATTAAAGTTACGTTTTAATATACGTAATATAAGCAAGCAATAAAATAAAGAAATCTAATTTCCTCGTTAAACAATTTTTTAGTAACAGTTTG